AGGGAAAAGGAGGATTCTGAGGGACCTGGTTGGGGTGAGGGTGAGGGCACGGCCTGCACTCCCTGCCCATGGTGGGCTGGAGTGGGTGGATCCCTCTGGATCCCTCCTGGATCCCTGGGAACCCTTCCCAATCCCTCCTGGATCCCTGGGAACCCTTCCCAATCCCCTCTGGATCCCTGTGAACCCTTCCCAATCCCCTCTGGATCCCAGTGGATCCCTGTGAACCCTTCCCAATCCCCTCTGGATCCCTGTGGATCCCTGTGAACCCTTCCCAGTCCCTCCTGGATCCCAGTGGATCCCTGTGAACCCTTCCCAATCCCCTCTGGATCCCTGGGAACCCTTCCCAATCCCTCCTGGATCCCTGTGAACCCTTCCCAATCCCTCCTGGATCCCTGGGAACCCTTCCCAATCCCCTCTGGATCCCAGTGGATCCCTGTGAACCCTTCCCAGTCCCTCCTGGATCCCAGTGGGTCCCTGTGAACCCTTCCCAATCCCCTCTGGATCCCTGGGAACCCTTCCCAATCCCTCCCGGATCCCAGTGGATCCCTGGGAACCCTTCCCAATCCCCTCTGGATCCCTGTGAACCCTTCCCAGTCCCTCCTGGATCCCTGGGAACCCTTCCCAATCCTTCCTGGATCCCTGTGGATCCCTGTGAACCCTTCCCAATCCCTCCTGGATCCCAGTGGATCCCTGTGAACCCTTTCCAATCCCCTCTGGATCCCTGGGAACCCTTCCCAATCCCTCCTGGATCCCTGTGAACTCTTCCTGCATCCCTGTGAACCCTTCCCAATCCCCTCTGGATCCCTGGGAACCCTTCCCAATCCCTCCTGGATCCCTGGGAACCCTTCCCAATCCCCTCTGGATCCCTGGGAACCCTTCCCAATCCCTCCCGGATCCCTGTGGATCCCTCCCAGGTCCCCGTGGATCCCTCCCGGATCCCCATGGATCCCTCCCGGATCCCCGTGGATCCCTGTGAACCCTTCCCAATCCCTCCCGGATCCCAGTGGATCCCTCCCGGATCCCAGTGGATCCCTGTGAACCCTTCCCAATCCCTCCCGGATCCCCGTGGATCCCTCCCGGATCCCCGTGGATCCCTCCCGGATCCCAGTGGATCCCAGGATCCTGGCGGCAGCCCGGCCTGCGCTCACCTCCCCGTCGGGGCCGATGGCCGGGGCCTGTCCCTCGGCGCTCTCTGCCTTCTG